CGCCGACAGCGTATAAGCCACAATAGAATAAATGCATTCTTTTAAAATTCACTTTGTTTACCATAGCGACACTTTGGCGCTAGGTTTACTTAAGAGTATTATATTTCGTTCATATTATAAACTCAGAATGCACAAAATTTATATCATTTAAAGAATTATCTAATCGTTGCCACATGTTCCATTCAAATACTATAACAAAGCTAGAACGATGTATAAGATGTATAAAAGAAATTAAGCAAACAAAACGAAAAAGAAACAGTTTTTCACAGACGATTGAGTATTTCTCATTCCATTAATTCAGTTTTCACTTCGCGACAAGGCAAAAATACATAAAAACTCAAAATATCTCTATTAAAAATTACGAAGTAAATCTTAAATACTTATTTTCTCGAAACAATTCCAGAAAGGATTAAGCATGATTTAATTCGCAATAATTAATGAAGGCGTTATTTTTGTGTTGCGAAGCTTAGTCTCTCTAGATTGGCAACAAATCTACAATTCTGCTGTTTCAAATGTAAACAAATATGTCCGCCATGTTATTTAAAACTTAACCGCACTTAAACAGCTTTTAAATTGTTGATAATTGTACAAATATCGCTTCCAGAATTAAGAAAGGCATAAAAACTTTAACCGGAAAATAAAAAAACACAAATAATCAATCATTTTTATTTTTAAAGCAAAAAATGTAAATGTACAATTTACAAACATATAAGAGTAAAGAAACTGAGATTACTGAGCCGGGTAACAGAGTAAACAAGAAACTTCAATTTCAATACTAACAAATTAATAAATTGGAACTCCAACATATCCAAAAAAGTAATTAACAATACTATAATTAATCAAATACAACGAATTAAAACTATATGCACAGATACAATAGATTTACAACGCGAAATTTTGATCCTTATCAAAATTCTCAAAAATAATCTAATTCCCTTTCAATTTATCAACCATTGCCTTAAAAGAGCAGGCGTTAAATACTCACTCTAAATCATTTAACTGATAGGGATATGATAATTTATTCCTAAACCTGAGAAGGCGGTATAGGGTATAAGTTGGATGACTGTCAGTTGAAAGATTTGTATATAGTGTAATTACTCAATTGTATATATTGTAAAAAGCTAATTGTCTTCAGACATATACTGTTACTATACTGTTACTAAAAAAATGGGCCTATTTCCTGCCTTTAGACTGTCTACTAGCTCTTGGATAGCGAAAATGCCTTTTTCCTTTCTTAAATTCTTAATCATTGCAACACGACAATTAGCCAGAAATTAATTAATTTCCATTCACTAGTATTTTTAAAAAAATCTTAACAGACGGTCTCTCTCAGATAAGAACTCCACAAAATACATCCCTCAAGAATTCCAAGTCCAACCCACTACCATAAATTTCTTCACCCAAGTCTTGCCGACTTATATAATTCAAAGCCCCTACTGCCGCTAAGAATTTTCGGACACCCTACACTTCTGAGTCAGACACGAAGAGAACACACTGCCAACTCCCCCACTAGAAAGAATGTAAGTTACTTAATACCTTTCTGGCCTTTATATCTTCATGTACATTCACTGATCTTATTATATTATTTTCTATTTTATTTTTTTTATATTATTTTTATATTATTTTATGTTCTCTTTGATTTGTTTTTGCAAAGTTTTGCATTATTTATCTTTTTTATAATCTTCTATGTTTATTTCAACTTTACTTTGATTTCGATTTCATAATGACAATTTCCAATGTTTAATTTCTACAAATAATATAGTACTCAAATACATAAAGATGATAGTGTCGGGGACGATTACTCGAGTTTTACAAGATTTCTCTACAGTAATTGATTTTTACTCCAAATTGAATTGACTAAAATGCTTCATGAGAATCAGTTCTTTGAGTAACAACTATTCGCGGAAATATTTGGCCTGACTAGAATTGCCGGTTTGGCTTTAATTTATAACTCGAGTAAAGACGAAACACTTTCATATTTACGTATTTCTATCAATTATTGATCATTGAACGGGAGTTGGTTTGTTCCCCTTGAAAAGTCAACTAATTTCCGATCAATGACAATAATTACATGTTTTAATTTTTACTTTTACAATTGTAATATTATTCTTCGTGATGATTTAACTCCAGTCCCCGTTAAAAAAACATTATTAACATTTTGCTTTCAAATTACTTCAAAACATCTTTCAAAATATAACTTACCAGTATGGATGCACACTTTTAAAATAATTCTACTTTAATTAAACTTAGGAGATAATATAATCAATTAATCAATACGGTTTAGGAAATAAATTATTTATAAATATATTTATGTACGTTTGGGGCGGCCGATTGAAACCAAAATACAAGGTGCACATCTACATGTTATAGTAGTCTTATATACAAAATTTCAACGTTCTGAGGCTACTCGTTTTTGAGTTATGCGAGATACGTACGTACATACGTTCGTACAGACGCCACGAAAAATTCTCTTCAGAATTCATTTTAAAGCAGTTTTTTAGTTTTTTTTTTTTTTTTTTTTGGAGGAAAAGAGTCTTTTATTCTGTCCTTACGTACAGATATCACGCTAAAACATGGTTAAATTGCATTCGAAAGCGGTCAAAGTGGATATTTTCGTTGAAATATGCTGCCTGAAGCTTTTCGCGATTACAATACTTCCTTTTTACTTCGTACAAGGAAGTAAAAATGATAAACGTTGATTTAAATCTTAAGAAAGCGAAAAAACGCAATGTGCATCGTCTTCTTCTAAAGCATATCGCTCAACGCAGGACACGCTGCAGAATTCTATATGAGAAACACTTATCCAAAGAAAAATGGAAAACAATTGTCACAATAGATTAAGCATGGATGTATTTAAATGATTGTAACAAAAAAAAAAAAAAAAAAAAAAAAAAAAAAAAAAAAGAGCCATTTATTATCATAAAAGGGGAAAAAAAAATTTAAGTACATGGTTCAAAGAATCGAAAGAAAGTTTTTCTAAGGGATTCATGATTGTTGCTGGTTTTTCTTATAATGGCAAGTTAAAAATAAAGAGAGTGCAAAAACAAAATGTCAAGATTAACTCCAAATACTATCAGGAACATATTTTATCTCCAATTTCTCTGAATGAAATACCATCGCTTTACCCACAGTGCCATCAATCTGTGAGACTCCATCAGGACAAAGCTAGCAGTCACACATTAAAATCCACTGTAAATTTCCTAAAAGAAATGGAACAAAAAACTGGTATCAAGGCCGTACCCTTCACTGATATCCCTACTAAATCTCTCGATGTGTCACCTATGGATTTTTGTGCTTTCGGACTTTTAAAAACTGCATTATCCAAACGTTGTCCCAAAACTCTAACAGGACTCTGGAAAGCTGTTCAGGAGGAATGGGATAGAATATCTCTTCTGCCACTTGAAAAGGCATTATTATCCTGGAAATTGCGGTGTCAAAAGAATAATGGATGTCAAATAGAACAGTTAAAACAGAAGAATTTTATGTAATTTAGTTTTGTGAATACAATATACGTCGTCTAAAAAATGCGTGAACAGCCTCTGTATTGAAGAAATGAGATTTTTTTTTTAACTGAAGCTGTCTTGCAGACCATTAATAAACTGGATTTATTGATGCATAATATAAATGTATCAACCTACTTTGAAAATGCTAAATGCCGCACTCTGTAATTTACCCTTTTAAAACATCCTTCGTGTTATAATGAAGTCTGCTATATACGTTGTGAGTAAAGTAGTCACACAATAAAATTCTTAAAGAAATGCCCTTAATCTAGGACTTCTTTGTCAACTGTGTTACTTACCATTTTCAGATTCATGGAAATAATTACTGATGTTTGAAACATTTTTCCTTGTACGAAGTAAAGGAGGAGTTGCAATCGCGAAAAATTTCGGGTGTCGTATTTCAACGAAAATATCCATTTTGACCGCTATCGAATGCAACTTAACGATGTTTTTGCGTGACCTATGTATGTAAAGACAGAATAAAGGACTCTTTTCCCCAATACGGATTGCAAAATGAATTTAAAATGTATTCAGAAGAGATTTTTCTTGACTTCTGTACGTACGTAAGTATGTATCTCACATAATTCAAAAACGAGTAGCTTTAGAACGTTTAAATTTTATACATAGGACTGATATAACGTGTAGTTATGCACCTCCTTTTTTGGTTGCAATTGGCAGGACTAAAAGTATATATGTGTATATACCCACTGCATTACTCAACTCGGTGAGCTCAGTTTTTATTATTCTTATATATTGATAAGTTGTGTACATTTTCTGATTTAAAAATGATTGAATTATATAGTTCTTATGTTCCGGTTAAGGTTTTTATGTCTTTAGTTAATCTGCATGCAATAGTTGTATAATTATCAACAATTTAAAAGTTTTTGAAGTGTGGCTAAGATTAACGGAGCAGTCATATTTGTTTACATTTGAAACTTCGCATATTAGTGTATTAAGTCAGTTTCTGCACCCTAAGTCCCTTTTCCTATATGCCGAGTGGAACCAAAAGTAAATTTTCAGTCTTGTGCACCGAAAAATATATCTTCTTGCCCGCCGGCCGAATTGCTTGTTTTTGCGTAGAAACTCTAATTTTAATTGTAAAAACATTTTTAATTGTTTGAACTGTATTTGGCGATTTATTTTTTTTTTTTCTGTATTTTCCAATTTTTAATGAAGATGTTTTGAGTCTTTATGCATTTTTGCCTTGCCGCAAAGTGAGAACTGAATTAATTGAATGAGAAATATATCTCTAACGATATTCGAGAACATAAGTTTAAATAAAATGCAGCAAAAATGCTTAAAATTTAATAAATCGTACAAGGAAATCATGTTGGTGTTCGCATCAGATTTTTCTAAAAATCTTTGCGACTATCATTTAGTTTCTTATTGTAATAAATTTGATTCACGTTTACTTGTTGTCCTTAAATGAGTTTCAAATGTGTGATGAGCTTTCAGTCTGACATTTTCTTTTTTTAATTTCATGTTACTGATTTATTCCAGAGATACTTATGTCACTAATGACAGAATTTCTGGAATTTGGAAAAACAGATGGCGGTAGATTTGACTTTCTTATAAATACTTACGCAGATGTTTAAGAACACTTGAATGGAAGAAGTACCTATGTGAATTGAAATAACAGGTTAGAGTAATATACTTTTTCTCTGTGATGCCTTTTTATTTAAATTACATGAATATTTCTTTAAAAGATACTCAGAGCATTCTCTGGCAATAAAATGGATGTATTATAACGGATAACTGTAGTAAAAGAGAAATAACTTTAAATCTTACAGATTTTAATTCATTCTTTTATATTTTCAAATTTTATTTTAATCTCGTAAATTTCCTCCTGCAATTTGTAGCTGCTGAAAGTTATCTTTGTGATGTTTATGTTGCAACGTTATATTGTAAGAAATTGATTACTAATAGTTATACTCGAGTAGCATACCTATACATATACCTGTATGGGGGATAAAATATGTAGAATTAATATCAACCAAGGTGGCAGACAAACATCGAGGTACAGAATTGAAACAATAAAGACAAATCTTGGATAAAAAACTTGAAAAAATGATACAGAAAACTAAAAAAAAAAAAAAAAAAAAAAAAAAAAAAAAAAAAAAAAAACCTCTTCAGAGTCTACGTTACGCTCAAAGGGACTTTTTTTTAACTTTTTCTGTGCTACCTTTATTTATTAAATATGATGTTCTTCGCACTTAAAAAAATAAAATTCAGTTCAACAGCAATATCGCGAAATAATTTTAAAATGAGCCTATCTTTAGAATTTCCGATACACAGTCTCTCGCGCTGGAGATAAAAAATGTTTTTTTTTTCTGTACAATGTTGCCATTTGTCGCTTTGAAATACTTGAGTTTGTTAATCAAAAATTCGTTAAAGTGTTACAAAATCTGAAATCGATAGTAAAACAAATTTCAAATTTCAAATTAGGGCTTCCAGAGGCTCCTATTCCGTGGAAGATTACGTTATTTAAAATTTAATGGCTCTAGGTATCTTTGTTTCATCACAATGCGAGAAACATACATGCATTTATCCGGATACTTCATTATTTATTTTCTTTAACATGGGGCGATGATATTTGATGGCAACAATTTGAAAAGTGAGCCGACATCTGTAGTGAGTCAACGCAAAAGGCCAAAACGTAACCCCTTCTGGGCTAACGCCCTTTGGGCTAACAATAGTCATTAAAGAAATATTAAATAATAGTTGATAAATTCTTGCTACGAAAGAAAAATCAGCAGAGCAGCGTTTATGAATTATATTTGGATAAGTTGAAAACGAAAATAACCAAATGAAATCCTCTTTTAAGTTTAAAGCAAAAACAAATGCGAAATTTAAAGAGCCTTAAGCATGTGGTTCATAAGAAGTGAAATGCATTTAATCAGGCACGGATGCTGTTCTCCAAGCATTCAACTTCCAAATTATTACCGACCATGGTTACAAGTATTTCCCTTAAGCATGTGGTTCATAAGAAGTGAAATGCATTTAATCAGGCACGGATGCTGTTCTCCAAGCACTCAACTTCCAAATTATTACCGACCATGGTTACAAGTATTTCCCTCGTGTCTTCAAATTATCAAATTATCAATTTCAATCGAACAGGATATGTGAATCTGTATCTTGACTACAGATTTTATTTTCTTTTTTCCGATTCAGAATGGTAATGGTTTCATTTCAGTTTAGCTTTACTTTAATTATTTAATATTAAGTTTTGAGTCCCAAAATTGAAATTATTTTTTACTTAAGCGTGATGTATATATCCGCTTCATTAAAGTTTATCATCTGGCAGGATTAATTTTGAAATGGCATAATTTAGATCAATTTATTTTAAGCAATTACTAATTTTAGGACCGAAAACCAAAACAACCAAGCTAGAAAGGAACATTAAGAAGCGACTGAAAATTATTTTATCTACCCATATTTAACATAAACATAAACACACACACATTCATATATATGTATATATACATATATATATACAATTTTTAAAAAATGAGGGAAAAATTTTTACAATCATGGGAATTTTTTAAAATGTAGTATAAAACAAAAGTAAGATACTATTAAATTTTAGAATGAAGTATAAAGTAAACTGAATTAATAAAATTAAACCTTAAATTTTTTTTTAACATTTTTAAAATAAATTTAAATATAAAATGGCATATTAATTATTTATGTTTTAATGTTTCAAATCGACTTGTCAGGTAGGTAATAATTTAAAACATTAAAAACCGAACAATTAAAGATTATTGAAAATACGTTTCGTTCCTCTGTCTATTTGAGCATAACAAATGAAAATTATAAAAATAAAAATAAAACTATGAATACAACTCAAAATCACATACAAAAATATTTACACCTTTACTCAAAAAGATCAAGAGGTTACCCCCAATGCGATTTCAGTTATCGAAAGCTTAAAACAAAATTATAAAAGTATATAATATTATAAAAAATTTTAAAACAATTTAAAACAACAAATTTAAAAATGAGAATTATAAATAAAAATCCCGTCATTATGCATTAAAAATACTGTTACGAATTTGTACGTATGTAAATAATTTTAGCGAAATTTAGATATTAGCGAAAATTATAATAGTTTTTGCATAATGTAACATGAAATGCTTGAAAAAACGAAGCGCTGCCGAATAAATAAGGTTACAGAGGCGAGCCTATCTAACATTGAGCTAAATGGCTATTTCGCTCACGGGCAAAGGGACGAGAATTCGCGCCAAGTTGGCGATGGTTTTGGCGACTAATTTTTATCAACAAATTTGGCGAGAAATTGTCAAAATTCAGCGAGTTCAAAATTGGCGAGTCCAAATGTGGCGACCATTTGGCGACATTTTAATTTGGTCACTGTATAACTGTAAATAAATAACAATGCAACATGTAACATAATAACATGTAATTGCTTCCGATATGCAACTGTAACCGTATCCAGCCTTTCTATATAACTTTAACCATATATGCCTTCTAGTAATTTTGAAAAATAGAAGTTATCGGAGATTTCCCTGCGAACCGGGGCGTATATAAGTCCAGATAGAGCATCAGTTTTCAGTTTTTCATTTCAGAGCAGACTTTGGAGTACTGAGAAATCACCATGCGAGTTTCGCATTTTCTGTGAGTTTTGCGTTATACGTAACGTTCACAGTAGCTTCACGTGGTAACTTCCAATTTTGCTCTGTTATACTGAGAAAAGCTGCACTAGTACATTCTGGGGAAAGTTATGGAATTATAAAGTGTTTTTTTCGGGGAGGGGGATAAATTCTACTAAGATATCACCGGTTCTATTTTCAGTCCATTACAAACCCGTATGTACGCAACAAAACAAATGGCAATTTAACGGTAAGACTCAAACTTACAAATTTTTTACGTAACAAAGTTTGCCATTTTGGCTAAAAGCACTTTAAAAATATTATTTTAGTAGGGCAAGCATTGGGAAAATTTCCCCAAAAAATTAAAATTATAAAAAATATATATACACATATACTTTGGTTTCTAGCTTTTGAGACCTTCGGTGCAATTTTGATCTTTCGGGGTCCTGGAAAAAAAAAATATATAATTTATTTCATAAACAATAGTGATTAATTGATTAAATTATCTCCTAAGTTTAATTAAAGTAAGAATTATTTTAAAAGAGTGAATCCATACTAGTAAGTTATAGTAAGTTATATTTTGAAAGATGTTTTGAAATAACTTGAAAGTAAAATGTTAATAATGTTTTTAACGGGGACTGGAATTAAATCATCATGAAGAACAAAATTTCAATTGTAAGGAAAAAAAATTAAAAAATAAATTAAAAGCATGTAATCATTGTCATTGATCGGAAATTAGTTGACTTTTCAAGGTCCGAACAAACCAACTCCCGTTCAATGAACAATAATTAACAAATAAATACGTAAATACGAAGGTGTTTCGTCTTTACTCGAGTAATATATATATATATATATATATAAATCTGAAAGGTTTCAGATTTTAAATTCCGTCCAAAGGAGCGTTTTGTTTTTTAACATTTTGTGTGTTACCTTTTTTTTTATTAGATATCATGGTCTTCATGCTTAAACTATAAAATTCAGTTCAAGAGCAATATCACAAAATAATTTTAAATTGAGCATATCCTTTAGAATTTCCGATACACAGTCTCACGCGCTGCAGATAAAATGTTTTTTTTTTTTTTTTTTTTTTTCTGTACAACGTTGCCATTGTTCGCTCTGAAATCCTTCAGTTTGTTAATCAGAAATTCGTTAAAGTTTTACAAAATATGAAATCGGTAGTAAAATAAATTCCAAATTTCCAATTTGGGCTTCCAGATGCCCATATTCGTTAGAGGATTACGTCATTCAAAATTGGATGGCTCTAGGTGCCGTTGTATTATCACAATGCGAGAAACAAACATACATTTATGTTCTTCATTATTTAATTTCTTTAAATATAATACACGGAAATAATATTTGGTGGTAACAGTTTGAAAAGTGATACAGCCTTTTAAAGATTTCAACGCAAAATTCCAAAACGAAAACAATAGTTCCTCAGCGGCAAAGCCCCTTTGGACTAAAAATTTGTTTCGGTTTCAGACGTAACACATCATACACTGTTAAAAGACCGAGGCTAATCTCACTAGAAATCAGCTCATTTTTTGAATGAATAGTTTGTGTTTATCATTTAAAAAAAAAAGGTATTGTGAATAACAATGATCTTATTTTTTATTTTCCTAGTTTGCCCTTATTGAGTTCTCTGTTTAATATCACCTGGAAAACGATCAACCTGGTATTGCTGCACATGGAAGAAAAGACGTTGTTAATGGCAATGCTGATTGCCTGCATTGTTGTAATTACAGCTGAGAGTAAGTATACAAAAAAATTACCTCTTGATTGAAATCAAAAATGATCTTACAATTAAACTTTTTTAAAATTTAAAAACATCTGAAACGTCCAAAGCGGCGTTTTATTTAACATTTTGTGTGTTACCTTTATTTATTAAAATATCATGTTTTTCGCACTTAAACCATAAAATTCAGTTCAACAGCAATATCGCAAAACAATTTTAAAGTGAGCATATCTTTAGAATTTTCGATACACAGTATCACGTGCTGGAGATAAAAATGTTTTTTCTGTACAACGTTGCCATTGCTCGCTTTGAAATCCTTGAATTTGTTAATCAAACATTCGTTGAAATTTTACAAAATAAGAAATCGATAATAAAACAAACTCCTAATTTCAAATTTGGGCTTCCAGATGCCTATATTCGCAGGAGTTACGTTATTCAAAATTGGATGGCTGTAGGTACCGTTGTTTTATCACAATGCGAGAAACATACATACATTTATGCAGATTCTTCATTATTTAATTTCGTTAAATATAATACAGGGCTATAATATTCGGTGGCAACAATTTGAAGAGTGAAACAACGCTTGTAGTGAATCAACGCAAAAGGCCAAAAAGAAATTGATAGTCCTTCTGAGCAAATTGCCCCTTTGGACTAAAAAACAATGTGCTGCCTGCCAACTGATAGCACAGTTTGCCTGCCAACTGTCTGTACATCGATCAGATCAAGGAGTTGGTGCTCTGTGACTGTACTTTAATATTTCAGGATGTTACTGATCGAGTTCCTATATCACTTGCATCCTGTAAAGTGATCTTCAATGAGCATTTTGACTTGCAAAAGCGTCTTGTAGTTCCCAAAATCTGTTGAAACTTTTTAAAAACTATTAGAGTATGCATTGCGTTCTTTTAGTAATTTGAAGTATAACTTATATTGCTTAATATTATGAAGCTTGATTATATTGCTTACTATTATGAACACTTGTACGAATATCTGTTTCCAGAGTTCTGATATATTTCTCCCGATAAGAATAAATTTTACGCGCGCAAAAATATTAAGAGCTAACAGAAAAATACTCCCGAAACGTCTGAATTCTAAAAGACGCTATTAACGACCATTGTCTGAAGAATAAACTGGAGAGCTTTCAAAATTAGCAGCGCTCTTATTTTGCTTGACTTTATCTTTCGAAGAAACTGTTGTATTGTCTCGGAGTACACCGCACTGGCCTTGTACTAGAATTGACAACAAAATGCAGAATTGCAGAGAATATTGTTAACAAAAATATAACCAGTTAAAACAATCACAGATAAGAAGCTTGTGTTTTAATGTGTGGTATGAAAAACGCTGAACAAAATGCAAGCAATTTCTTTTAATTGCACGAAATTTAGAATTTGGAATTTTTTAAGGAATGTTATTGGGGTCATTTCAGATGTATTCAGATACAATTATGCAAAAATTTCATTATTTTTATTTCGTAAAGTTAAAATTACGAAGATTGTTCAAACATAAACAAGAACTTTCATGGATCATTCTTGTAATGAATTCAACATAATTCTAACTTATTAGGTAAATATTTACCTTTTGAACTTATCAACAGTAATGCTAGTTTCTCTTTCCATTGACCTTGTTAGAATCTACATATCGTAGCAGAAGATTCACAGCAGTATTGCGTAATCATCATTAAATTTTTTCTAAGGAGGGTGTCTTTTCGTCTCAGATTTTTCTGAAATTGGAAAATCAGTCTAGAAGTGAGTGCTTTCCTCAGCGTAGAGTCTATATTAATAAAAGACTTTTAGAGAACGCTGAGCGAATGTTGATTCGTTTTTGTGATTATTGCAAAGCCTCGAAGGCTATCTGCCTAAAGGGAGGGATGCCTTCGTGGAGGACATTTTAAGGAAAATGGCTCGTATACACGTTACACATGGAGAAAACCACGAAAGCCTGTTCATGGGATTCGAACCTAGGAATCGAACTACCAGTGTTCAGCGACTTTACCACTCGACCGCTGGTGGGTAGGTGAAGGTAGAAAATGAATATATACTCGTCGGACGAGAATTTCAGTGAAAACAAGTTGAATGCCTTTGATGCTTTTTTTAAGTCGATGGGAGGGCGAATAATCATGAGGGAATTCTTTAACGATCTTAAAATAAGCAGTGCTACGATGGAAATATTAGATAAGCATTTCTATGAAGATAACTTCCCAGGAGACAATTTTTTCCCTTAGGCCAATGCTTACTGCTACTTTGGCGATGAAATCGCTGCAGGAACTCAGGATAGACGTCCTACCTCACTCTCCACATAATCCAGATTTAGCACTATTGGAGTTCCATCTCTTCGGTTCAATTTGAGAAGCTTTAAGAAAGAAGAAATTCAAATCTAATGAACAGATTATTAGTGCCGTGCAAGAATGGATCTTCATGTAGTTAAAGGACTTTTTTTATCTTCTGGAATTATTTCTTGGGCGTTGGAACAAGTGTTCTGCAGTGGCAGATGACTACACGGAAAAACAGTATTTAAGTCGTTTCATTGCATCAATAAGTAAAACTTAGCTTATAAATTCATATTTATATACGAACGCCCCTAATAATCATATTTAATAAATTTAAATATGTATATTGCTTTGACAAAATGTTTCTTTTATTTTCAGAGTACTGTCCTGAAATCAAGAATACTCAGTGTGAGCTGTATTATAGAATAAACGACTGTTGTTTACAAAGTGACTGCCGCTCATATGCAGTCTGTTGCAAAGGTCGTTGTGGGAACGTATGCCAGACGGCGAAAGATGCACCAACAAATGGAGTGGCTGTTAAGGACGGAGAAGATTGCAAGCTTGGTAATGTGTATCCGAAAACAGGTTTTGAATGGTTATTTGGGGAAAAATCAAGATAACATGCCTAGAAAAAAGCTTCATTCCGAAAAGCAGTCTTATCAGTTCTATATGTTTCTATAACTGATACTGCCTTTTACATTCTAATATGGCTGTACTTTTTATCTATGAATCTTTTCCAGTGGTTGTAATAAACACATACAGAATAAAAATTAATGCATATAAATTATTTTTCTCAAAATCCTTTTTAGAGTGGGTTTTACGATGTGCAGGTTCCCAAGAAATGCTTCCACTGCTGAACAACACTCAATTGGTGTAAAACGCTTTTACAAAATTAATAACTCTTATGCAACTGTAATACACCTTTACTCACTCTGCAGTTTACCCATCATTAGTCATTGTTCCAGGGTTAATTAAATAATGAATCAAAAAATTCTAATAAACTGGTTCTGCCGTAAATGGGAAACAAGTATGATGGCCATGCAGTTGGCAAAGCAAAGAAAATATGCTAGACTTTAGACATTACACAAAATTGCAAGAATTTTAAGTGTGTAGCAATAGGACTTGGATGCAAAGTTTACAGCTTCTTGGCTTGGAGCAGAGTCAGTTTTTATTGTAACAGATATCAAGATACGTAACTGATGGTCGCTGTGACGGTCACTAATTCGGCCTGAAAATCTACGTTATGGAGATCCGTATATCATATGCAAGTGAGTTTGGAACCTCTCAGTGTACATAAATCAGGACAAGATGCCGATTCTGGTTGAGCCTTCACATTAGCATAATGCCGTGAAAGTTCCGTCGGGAAAAGAAAGAAAAGATGGTGCTGTATGTCCTCTCTCAAACGTCTCCATGCACCTAAAAGAAATGTTCTTCAATAAATTATTTGCTCGTAAAAAAGATGACAACCAATGGCCTCCAAGGATTCCAGATCTTTCTTCGGTTGATATTTTTTATGGGGTATCTTAAAACTCGTGTATACAAAAATAAACAGATGATAATAATCCTAAGGAAATAAAATATTTGTGATGAGATAGTCAAATTTCCTCACGCTATGTGTAAAGCTAGTTTTTCGAAACGTATGTGCTCGGTTACAAGACTGTCAGAATTCAAAAGGGTGGGCAATTTTAATTTTAAAAGGTAAATTATCGGCTATGTTTATTCTGCTAAATATAAGCTCGATAAAATAGCTTTACCGTGTTTAGTCGTATTTGACGTCCCAGTCTTATTTCATTTTCAAATCACAGGAATTTATGATGGACCTTGTGTATACAAATACATATTCCTTTTTTATACACTTTCCTTTTTATTATAATATACCCTTTCCTTTTTTATTATTTTTTGTTCCCTAGATGTGCAATAATATATTCATATAAAGACTTCCACTAATTAAACAAAAAAGAGTTTCACTAATTAGTCAAAACTAATTTCATTTTTTGTGGTTTGTTTAACGTATTGCTGGTTAAATGGAATTGTATTACCGCAATGATTCTCCAGGAAAGAGAGAATTGTATTACCGCAATGATTCTCCAGTGAGTAGAGTATAGCAAAGCTGCTAAGAATCATTACCATGAAGCAGAATCGAAATGAAAAAGAACTCTATGTTGAAGTATCACTAACTTTTTTCCCTTTGAAAACTATGACCAAAGCAGTGACAGAATAGTGGTATCACCAGTATGAGACTTAAACAGAAACAGAGCTGGATATAATTTATGGTATCGAGTTTTGCTCTAGAGTCATATTTAAGCTTTTAAGAGCTGGACAAATGAGGAAACGTAATGATCTCGATAACATTGTTTAATACTGTATCTTTATTCCCGATAGTGGGATGGTTTAGGTTAGAATTTTTTTTTTTTTTTTTTTTTTTTTTTTTTTTTTTTTTTTTTTGTAATATCACAATATCACACTAACAGAAATTCATTCAGAGGGAGTGAAGCAGGAAATTATTAGGGTCAAGTACTTGAATCCTTCATGAGATACTACGCTACAGTCGGTAAATGTTACGCTGTAGTGAACCCAGCCTTTCAGTTTATGGGTTAAAATTCACAGAGCAGGGTTAGTGGGCGAGTACCTAGAGAACCAATTTATTGCTGGTAATATGAAACAGCCGATGTTTTTTCGAACCCCAGCCAGAGCTTAAATTGCGCCGGAGCCCAACTTCAAGTCAACTTCTTAGTTTTTGGAATAAATCGTAATTTTAAACGGAGCCCTAAATAAGTAGGATCTTGTCATTCTTTAATGTAAATGAACAGCAATTTCAGCAGAAATCTGATCTCGAAAATTGTATTTTTTTATAATAAAATTATATTAAAAATTGATCCTATTTTCTGAATGCATGTTTCTCTTTCCTTGGGAAACAAACTCTTGGATAGAGGTCGAGATTTTAAAGGAAAGAAAAACTCCTACCCACATGTCAAAGGCTTATTCTGCAAAAAGTACAATTAATTTTTGACAGTGGATAAATTTTTCCTTCCAACATTGCTGTCTTCCCACGAAAAGAGCACCTACAGACTTTTTGGAACGGTGTAACGGAAGACGAAGAATCAGAACTGTTACTTGTTAGTCTTTTTTTCAGATAACTCTCGGATTCGGTGAAAATTTGCTCCCTTGTCATATTCTACTTGACAGCTAGACTTATACTGAAAGGAGACAGTGGCTAGAAAATGTTGGATTTTTCTCTTTTTGTTTTTATAACTGCAAGTCATCCGTTAAAATTTTCTCTTACTGTTTATAGCATTCTCTTTATTTTCATTAGTGACGTTTTAATAATTTTTAAATTTTTTCATTGGTCTGCTGAAAAAAGAATGGTCCTTATATCTATCATCCCTTAAAATAGTACATTATATTCTAGAGCTTAAATTAAACCGGAGACAGGTTGAGCTGTTTCTTATTTTTGTGTGAAATTTAAGTCCAGCCAAAATCCCGAATAAGTCAAGATCCAGTGTTTTATTTTATTATTTGATAATTTAACATTTATTTAATAAATATATTTTTATTTATCGCTTTACATTTGATTAAATTTTAATATTAATTATCTCATTGTTCTAATCATTAATAACTTAATAATTAATTATTTAATTGTTTTATTATTAATTATTTTATTAGTCATTTTATTTATTTATTTATTTATGTTCTTCTTTCTTGATAGTCTTCTATAGGGTTCCAGCATTTCTAATTTTAGAAGTTAAGCCCTGATTGCAGCCCATATTGGAGTTGCTCTTGAACGAGCTATGGAATAGTGGATAAATATTTTAAGAGTTATATTTTGAGTTTCACTTACATAAGTTATAACTCGTAAGAAATGGGCAATGCTGTCTTCTTAGAACTATAGAATATTTTTTGGAAGTATTTGGAAAATATGGTGGTCCGTCTCTTTCTACATCTTTCTTCTGCATATCCTCAAGTTACTCCCCAAGAATTTTAACTGCCCTTCCACAGGACTAGCAACCTCTATGCTGGAAAAGCTGCCTAAAGAGATATACGTCGATGTCAGACGTTCTTCAAATACAGAGGAAGTCATGTCCCATATCATGATTTAAGTGTTTTGTTTGTCTAGCAAGTACTGAATCTTTCTGTTTGAACTAACGGCGAAATAGGCATTTAAAGAATTGAAAATTTATCTATACACATAACAGTATTTATGAATTAATGAAATAGTAAACATCTGACAAGTGCTTATAGTTCAAGAGAGTGTGCTTATAATTTGAAATATGTAAAGAAATAATGTCGCCAAAAGTCTACAAACAGCCCAAGATATATGTTTCATATTTATCCGAAAAGTTGTAATCGTATCTCTGGGAAATACGGCTACGACTTACAGAGTGAAAATCAGTGTTTTATTGTATCAGTATAATGAGTGCATTCATGAATTTAAATGTCAAGCAAAGGAATCGGATTTGCTATACAGAGGAACTGGTTACCTAGAAAGTCTTCTCCAAACAAGTACGTATACTGAAGAAATTCATCAAAAAAGATCTTCAAGTTTCATGATTTGGAAACGTACGGCAAATGTATTAAAGTTATCTCAATTACTGTAATCAAAATGATAATTCAGTAACATCTTGACCGTACAATAACCTTTAAAACGTATGCATGTTGCATGCAAAAAATTCGCCGAAATGAAAGAAAGGCGAATTGTGGACAGCTTTGCCAAAAAGTTTTGTCTTGCGAAATACAGAACAATATTCATATTTTTTTTTATTTCCAATGACTAAGCAAAAAATACAAAGAACTAAAATTTTACAAACAGAAGAATAAACAAAAGAACTAAGAACAAAAACAACGTAGTCATCGCCTATGGAGCGCTCTTGCCTCCTCGACTCTTTTGTAAGACCACAAAGAGCCCCACGTCGGAGCAGGTGGTCCCTGTCCATGTCTTTGCCAGAATTATAAATAGGATCGATTGCAATGCCTATACGGTGCAGTTGGGTAGCAGGACAATCTTGTCCTGTAGACAGACGGAAAGCCGCAACTGTATTGCGTGTTGAACCATAAGGAATAAGATAAGGACTTATCATGCTCCAACGTTTTAACACTGTACGAGCCTGAAGATCTCGTATTAGCTTTGTTTCTTAAACCAGTGTAAAAAAGGAGTATTTTTATAAACACCATTTTTGGATAAATACTGCAGAAAGTGGTTTTCATAAGCCTTGTTTTCAAATTTTTGAAGAACATGTCATTTCAGAAACTGTGAGAAATTCAGTTCTAGCTCTGATTCCAAACTCAGTACAGATTTTTGTGGAAGTCAAATTTTCAGGTTTAATTCACTTGGTAGCTCAACAAATTTCTTCTGAGCTTCATATGGAAAAGAATCAATGAAATTTCTTTAAAAATTTCCTTTAGGTATTTTTTAATTCGTTAAATTTTCGCAACCCCAGCATTTTGCTTTGCGTTCCATTTAGAGTCTCGGCTCACAGTTTACGAAACGCTGGTGTAACAGCAACCTGGCATATAAACGGTGAAACTCCGAAAACTGGAGAAATTTCATCGATTTTTCTAAAAGTGAATTTAAAGATGTAGTTTTATTTTTCTAACTTGCTTGAATTTCTTTCCGATCCTGTTGCTTATCTGTAAACTTGAAAGAAATTTGGAAAAGTATTAAAGAGTTCCTTCAGTTTCTCGAAGACCATCGATTAATGAAATCTCTTTGCTTGCAATTACTGATAAGACTGCTAACAAGCCATCTTCAGTGTATATAAAAAAGAACCATCCTGATTGATATGCTGC